GGGCAATCTACTTCCGTAGTGGTACTGCTTCAGAAACCCAAGGAGGGGTCACTATGAGTCAGGTCTGATTCGACGGCACATAACAACAACAATAACAATGATGTTGAATGTCTTTTCATGTTCTTATTTCAACTTCTTTAGTAAAATGCTACTTCATGTCTTTTCCCTATTTCTAATTGGATTCTTTTATTTTTTTGATCAGTAGACGATAAACACCATTTTATCTTATTCATAGAAACAGTAACTAGGGTCTCTAAACTGCAGTTCTAATAGTCCAAACTACCCCCAGAAAAAGCATCTGGAAAAAAGCAGCATTATGGTAGTGACATTCTGTATTAGAAATCTAAATCCTATCAGCTCCTTTACCTGAACTGCAAAAATCCAGGGAATTACTATCATTAAATGTTTATTGCTGATTGGATCAGAAAAGCTACTTTATAATTTTATACCATCAAAACTAACCCAACTAAGTTATAAGCTTTAAAAACTGTTTAATTTTTTTTTAACTTTTTATTATGAGTTGGATGAAAGCTTACAGAGAAAATTGGTTTTCTATTCAACAAGTCATAGACATTTTGTTTCATGACATTGATTGCAATCCCACAGTGTAATAACATTCTTCCTCATTCCTCATTCCCATGTCCATTCATCATTCTTTCCTATCCCTTCCTACCTTCTGAGCTTTATCCCTGGGCAAATGCTGCCCTTTTGAACTCGAATGGTTGATTATTCTAAGGGGTGCATGCCTCCATGGTGTTCACCTTATAGGCTTGTTTATGGTTTGGCTGAAAGTTTAGCCACAGGGTAAGTTCATTTCCAACCTTGAAGGATGACTAAGGCCCATAGTCTTGGAAGTTCCACCAGTCTCTGTCAGACCAGTTAGCTTGGTCATTTTTTTATGATTTTGACTTTTCTTGCATATTTTTCTCCCCCTCTATCCAGGACCAACTATTGTGATCTCTTTTAGGTCGCTAGTGGTAGTTGGGCACCATATAATTCTTACTGTCTCAGGGTGTTGGAGGCTGTGGTTCATGTGGTCCATTAGTCCTTTGGACTAATTGTTTCCTTGAGTCTTTGACTGTCTTCACTCTTCTTTGATGTGGATATAGAGAGACCAATATTTGGACCTTACATGGCCATTCACAAACTTTTTAAGACAGTAGTCATTAGTCACCAAAGTAGGATTGTCTTTGTGGACTGTCTTATGCTAGTTGACCTGATGTCCCCTCAGACTATGGTCCTGAGCTTCCAGGTCCAGCTATTCTCTCAAGATGTTTGGTTATGCCTAAGAAGTTTTCATGACTTTGCCCCCTTTATGTTTCACTATATTCATGGATATATTTGCAGCACAAAAATATACATATGTAGACATGTCCTCCATCAATGCTATATGTATTTGTGGGTATAGACTCATTCACCTTCCCAGTCCTGTTCAGCTTGTATGTCTGTCTTTGTAACCATTTATAGATTATTGTTAATACTGTTATTGCAGAATTGTGTATGTAATAGTATTTAACCTTTTTTGCCTTTAAATCTTGTGCTTTTTCCAGTGTCTTCCTTTGCCTTGATCATGTTGCGCTGGCCTCCTTATTCTAAATTGACTGTCTCTTCACTCAAGTTAGTAAGTGTCTACTAAGTAGT